TTGACGAAATTTGTGGAAAGTGAAAACCGAACCATTGAAATTTATGCAATATTTTGGGTAAAAATATGTTAAAAATAAATCAAAAATTACAAAACAGATCAATATTTTATATTTCTCCATTTATATTTAAAAGATAAGAAAATACAAATCCTTTATGCAATATTTTGTTAATTTTTATTATTTAAAATATTTAACTTTCCCACACCATTTACCTATATATATAACCAAATCTTTGTGTGTAAGCTTAGAATATCCATTTTTGTTTTTCAGTTTTGATAGCATTTTTTTCTTTTACTTATTGAAGTAAAATCAAGACGGAAAGATGGGAAATATGTATTTTTTTTTTTGGCGATTATATGACATGATGGGGTATAAGACGAGAAATACTATAATATGCTTCCAACAAGTTATATGACGGGTCGGGTTGTAAGATGGAACGGGTTTGACTTAATATTACAAAAAAAAAAGAATATTATTAATCTTACAATTCAATATGGGTCATTTTACTACTTTTTTAACCGACACTAATATAAAACATGTATAATTAAACTAATTTAGTAAAGATTGATATTATGCAATCTTAATAATTATTAAATAAACTCTAACATCTATAAATTTTTAAAAATATGAATTTAAAAAAAATTGTCCCGCGGTGTACCGCGGGTCAACATCTAGTTTAATACAAGTTTTAAAACGATTTACATGGTTGTTTAAAGGATTCACCATGGGTTTTAATTTTTTTGAAAGGATTTACAAGAGATTATAAGAGATGTATAAGGTTTTCTAAAATTATAAAAGGATTTAAAAAGTTTACAAAGATTCCATTTTTGTTTTGTTCATAGCAAATATTTGGATTTTGATTATATAACCTTCAACGAAACCATAATCAAATTATAAAATTATACTGTAGATCTAACTGAACATTCACAAGCTGACAAAAGTGATCCAAATCCGATGGAAGAAGACGAAAAAATTATTATATCGATTGAGCTTTTCAATACCACTTTCCCTTTTTATTATTTTATTTTTCCTCTCAGTCTCTCTCACTATGTATTTCTTCCGATTAAAGTGTGCTTTCCTCCATTGAGTCTTTTCTTCTCAATCGTCTCCAATGGCGGCTTCTTCTTCTTCTTCTTCTGGTATCAGAAGATACGACGTTTTCCCAAGCTTTCGTGGAGAAGACGTCCGTGAATCATTCCTCAGCCATCTTCTCAAAGAGCTTAAGAGCAAAACAATCACATTCATAGATGATGAGATCGAGAGGAGCCGCCTAATCGGACCGGAGCTTTTAACGGCAATACAAGAATCGAGGATCGCAATCGTCGTCTTCTCTAAGAACTACGCTTCATCCACATGGTGTCTCAATGAATTGGTGGAGATCCACAAGTGTTATAAGAATTTGAATCTTATGGTGATTCCGATCTTCTTCCATGTTGATCCTTCGGAAGTTCGAAAACAGACCGGTGAATTTGGCGATGCTTTTGAGAGAACCTGCGAGGGGAAATCAGAGGAGGGGATTCAAAGTTGGAAACAAGCTCTAGCTGATGTTGCAAGTATGGCTGGAGAGGATCTTAGGAACTGGCCTAATGAAGCAGCCATGATTGAAAAGGTAACAAATGATGTTTTGAAAAAGAGTATGACAGCATCTGATGATGATTTTGGGGACTTAGTGGGGATTGAAGATCATTTAGAGGTATTGAATTCATTGTTGTGTTTGGAATCTGAGGATGCTAGAGTTGTAGGGATTTTAGGGACTTCAGGGATTGGTAAGACTACTATTGCAAGAGCTTTATACAGTCAACTCTCTAGTCAATTCCATCTTAAGGCTTTTGAAGCTTGTAGGAGAACTATAGGAGATGAATATAGCCAGAAGTTGTATTGGGAGGAACAACTTCTGTCAAAAATATTGGGTGAAAAGGATTTAAAGATAGAGAGAGTAGGTGCGGTGAAAGAAAGGTTAAAGGAGAAGAAAGTTCTTATTGTTCTTGATGATGTTGATGATCTAGAGCTATTAAAGACCTTGGTGGGACAAACTGGATGGTTCGGATCCGGGAGTAGAGTTATTGTTATTACTCAAGATAGGCGAATTCTCGAGGCTCATAAGATTAAACTTATACATGAGGTGGAGTTCCCGTCTGAACTTCTTGCTCTTAAGATATTTTGCCGATCTGCTTTTGCGCAAGACTTCCCACCCGATGGTTTTATGGATGTCGCAGTTGAAGTAGCCGAGCTTGCTGGTAGTCTTCCTTTGGGTCTCAGTGTCCTTGGTTCGTCTTTAAAAGGAAGGGACAAAGATGAGTGGATGAAGATGCTGCCTATGCTCCGAAATGGTTTGGACGGAAAAATTGAGAAAACATTAAGAGTCAGCTACGATAGGTTGGATAGAAAAGAGAGAGACTTGTTTCTTTTCATTGCTTGTCTATTCAATGGTGACCAAGTTTGTTACATCAATGACTTACTCAAAGATAGTGCTGACATTAGGCTTACAATGTTGGCTAAAAAGTCCCTCATACGTATAACAACACAGCGGCCTGAAACTGTAGTGATGCACAATTTGCTACAAAAGTTGGGTAGAGAAATTGTTCGTGCAGAGTCCGATAGCCCTGAAAGACGTCGATTTCTGGTGGATATTGAGGATATCCGAGATGTACTAATCGATAACGATGATACAGTAAGTTTTATGTACGTGCTTTTAAAGCATGACTTTACCATTGACTTATGCACTGAAAAGAAGAAACTTACGATTTTCTTGTGAATTTTGGACAGGGCATGCAAACTGTGCTCGGGATATATCTGGACGCATCATATACCTCAGAATCATTTTCAATAAATGATGAAGCGTTCAAATGCGTGCGCAGTCTCCAATTTCTGATAGTTTCTGATTATCGCTTGTGGCCAGAAAATATAGGAGGCGAATGGCTAATACCTATAGATGTGGATGTATATGAAGATGGACGAATTACTTTTGCCGGTGATCGGGATCCCAAATGGATACAGTTGGGGACTCAAGGCAGATTGGATCTACCAAAAAGACTCGTTTATTTGCCCCCTAAACTCAAATTGCTAAGGTGGAATAACTGTCCATTGAATTGTTTGCCTAGTAGTTTTAAGGCGGCTAATCTGGTTGAACTCACATTGGAGTACAGTAACCTTGAGAAGCTGTGGGAAGAAACTCCGGTACGAATTCCAAACTGTTTGTGTGTTTTTCAATTACAGAACAGAACTGCATGTGTGTTTTTCAATTTTAGAACAGAACTCTGTGTGTAGTTAAGATGTTTTTGAAATGTGTATTATATTTTTTCTTCAGCAACTTGGAAGGCTCAAGAGGATGAATATGCGTGGTTCCAAATATTTGAAAGAACTTCCAGATCTTTCGAATGCCATAAATCTCGAGGAACTGATTCTTATTGAATGCTCGTCTTTGATGACACTTCCTTCTTCAATTCAGAATGTTACTAAACTGACGGAATTATATATGATGGGTTGCACAAAGCTTGAGAAGCTATGGAAAGGCGTCCAGGTACGTACATTGTTTAATGTTATATCATTTGATGTTTGTTTTTTAAACTCTCTTAATAACTAATTTTGAGTTTAAAACAAAAATCTCAGTCGCTGGGAAGTCTTCTGGTGATGGATCTATCAGGATGTGAAAACCTGACAGAGATTCCAGATCTTTCAAAGGCCACCAATTTGGAGATTTTGAAACTCTACAATTGCAAAAGTTTGGTGACGTTACCTTATACAATTGGGAATCTCAAAAAATTGATGAAGTTGGAAATGAAAGGATGCACAGGGCTGGAGGTTCTTCCAACCAATGTCAACTTGTCATCTCTTAAAATCCTCGATCTCAGTGGCTGCTCAAGTTTGAGAACTTTTCCTCTGATTTCATTTAGTATCGAATGTCTCTATCTAGAAAACACTGCCATAGTAGAAGTTCCCCCTTGGATTGAGCATTTCTCGAGGCTCAATGTACTAATGATGTATTGTTGCAAGAGGTTGAAATACATCTCCCCAAACATATTCAGCATGAAAAGTCTAATGTTCGTCGACTTTGCAGACTGTAGAGATGCCATCCTGGCGTTCGGTGATGCCAGTGAGGAAGATTACCCTTCTTCTATATCATTATATGAAAACATTGAATATACACCACGGCGTAAGCTTTTCCGGCATGAGATGGGTACAAATTGGTACAGGTTACCCTTACACGGGGAATATTTTAGCTTCCAGAACTGCTTCAAATTGGAAGGAGACGTGCGAGAAGCCATCCTAGGAAGATGCTTTAAGCCTGTGGCCATACCAGGTGAAGAAGTGCCCACGTATTTCCAACATCGAGCTTATGGAGATTCCCTAAACGTCACTTTACCTCAGAGCTTTCTTTCTCAAGAGTTATTGGGATTTAAGGCTTGCATCTTGGTTGACTTTCCGACCGAGGACACAGATTGGTGTCCATACGTGGAGGTAAAAATTGGCTTCAATGGCAGAATGTTTAGGGAATCATTTTTTGAAGATGGAGCAGAACTGCAGTTGTGTAAGATGGATCATCTGTTTTCTTTTTCCTTCTATGTCCGGCCTAAAAATCTTCCATCTAAATCGGCTTCCAATGATGTGGAGTTCAAGTTTTCTTGCCTCAATACCATAAAAGAATGCGGTGTCCGACTCTTAAAAGTGGCTCCATAGCTAGAAGATAGTGATGAAAGAGACTGGGGAGAAGCAAGAAGCAGAAGCGAATGCAGAGTAAGCCTTTTGTCATAAAAATTACTGTTTTGTTCTGTTTTAAGATAACTTGGGATTAAACAATGATAGTTGACAAGACGATTTCATAGGTTTTGAGACAAGTCATTGTTTTCTGCAGATTGTAGGAGAGATTTCGGAGAGCCAAAATCCGTTTTGTTCTCCAACTTTGAAGCCTGAAAAGTGTTTGTAGTTTCTTCTTTAGCTGAATGCAGAAACACTCTATGTTTGATTTCAAAATAAATGTTTCAAAAGCCACATTTAAGCATATTCTCATTTTCACTACTTTGTGATATCATACTTACAGGTTACAGACAGTTTTCAGTTAACAGCTATCGTTCGTTATCCAAAACAATTAAACATCGTCATCACTCGTCAGTCTTGAGAGCCGGTTCAGTAGACATCGTCATCACCCAATACCCAAATTCTGAACCGGCTTTACTTGATTTAAACCGACTCAATTCCTTCGGTTAATTCCTGATTCAACTCCGAACCAAATACTCATCTCCTTCCTAATTCAGTCCGAAGACTTTCCGAAGGAGAGAAGTCTTTCTCGTCTCTCTGTATGCTCAATTTCCCTAAGCTTCTCTCACAACCATTCTCTCTTCACCGTCGTCTCCAGCTTTTTTTTCCTCCGAGTTACGGTAAGACCTATCTTGTGAATCTAATTTTTCCCAATATTGTAGTGCGATTGTGCTGTACAATCAATTCAAATGTAAACTAGTTTTTGGGATTTTAAAATCTTCATCTCTGTTCTTAAAACCCTAAAACTAAAGTTGTGATTTTCGAAATTGCAGCAGTAAGCAAACATGGCAGCACCCGAAACGAAGAAGAAGATATCAACATCTTTGATAATGCCAGACTGGTCTCAGCTCCCTGATGAGCTATTGCCTCTAATCTCGACGCACCTAGAAGAGTGCTTTTTCGATGTTATTCATGCTCGCTCTGTTTGCAGCTTGTGGAGATCCGCGTTTCCATATCCTACTTCCATAATACGCCAAAGCTATTCTCTTCCCACGGTTCGTTCAGAAAGCAATAACTTTTGCACCCTCGAGAAGGTCCCTTTGTTCCTCTTTCGAGTTCGAGCTCCTCATTATGATGTTGGTAAGTATTTTATGGGAGGGATAAGCCTAGATAAGTCAGAAGATCATATGGAGCTTCCATCTCCTCTTCAGTGCTCAGTCAAAGTCAAGATTCCAGGATCTGAGCCAAGGTTGATGAATATGGTCGACTGTCAGATTCTCTCTTTAGGACATCAGTACAGAATGATTGGTGAGAAGCTTAACGGCCTAGCTTTTCTTCCGCTGGACAAGGAGGGAAAAGGAGGAGAATTGTTGTGCTTCGCACATACTCTATGTGTACCCCTTTGCTGGTGTTAACAAGTGCCGAAATGAGGTGGAAGCCGCTTGAGTTTGACAACACCTCGGATGGTTTATGCGTGGGTATATTCGCTTGTAGAGGAAAGTTCTATGCAACATTTCTTCCAGGAAGAGTTTTAGTTATCGATCCGTATTCGCTGGAGGTGACTCTCCTGTTGCCCTCACCTCACCCAGTACACTCCCTGGTTCCATTTGGCAATGATGAACTTTTCCTGGTTGACGTATCCTTCCACAGTGTTGCTGGACCAGGTATTAGACAAATAACATGTAGAGTGAGTAGGCTAGATGAGATGACTGGTACATGGGTTGGAGTCAAGGATTTGGGAAACCGTGTATTGTTCATTGGAGGGCTGGGAAATTTCTCTTGCTCGGGTAAGGAGCTTCCTCATGGTTGTGGTTTGCACGGGAACTCGATTCTGTTCACCAATCTGCCAGGCAATGTAACTTCCGCCTTTGAATATGGAGTACATACAGGAGATGTTGAAGAAGATCTCAATTGTTGGAGATCCTCAAGAGTGAATCGTGTGATGATCCTTGAAAAATCCTCTCCGATGGTGGCTTTCCAGGTTGAGTGCTAGGCCATAATGGCAAGGTAGTGACTTTGGTTATGTTCAGAGCTTTTTGGTCTTTGTAGATTGCTTTTGTGGACTGACTACATTCTGGTTATAAAGTAATGGTGGTGCCAATGTAGCGTAGTCTTTGTGTAATACATCTGTAGGCGTATTGTAATATTAAAACTGGTCCAAACACTTCTAATTATGGTTTTGAATGGAGATAATAAATATGGCAGAGCAGATCAAGCAGTTTAAATATACCCAGCAGAACAAAAGCAGATTAAGCAGATATGGCATATTAAATGCAGATCAAGTTTTATTAATTTTTGGAAAAAACATACGCATCTACATGAAGTATGCTACAATACATGGCCACACATCCGAAGTTTAAAAATGTATCCCTAACTACACAAACTATATGTATTGCATGTCCACATATACGAATTATATGTAGTCATTTCGCCAACATCACGAACATTTTTTCCGGTACACTTTTCGCCGGAATCCGGCGTTGACCAGTTTTACCGGCGTTGACCAACACAAATATTAAAAAAAAAAATTAGTTTTTTAATATTTAGAAATTATGTTATTGAATCATTTATAATAATGTAAATTAAAATATATATATATAAAAAATATTCAATATAAAAATATTTTGTATATATATTCAATGCATTGTTTTTTTATAATTAGTTAGTTTCGATAATTTCAAAACTAAACTAAAATAAAAAACCAATTAGGTAAAATAATAATAAAAAATAACACTTAAAAATAAATAAAAAATCACAATGTTTCTTTTTAATATTTATAAGATAGAAGATCTAACGATTTTTATAACTAGTAGAATAAAATTCACACATATTGGTTTGATTCTAATATTTTAATATTTAAAATTCACATATTATATATTAAATATTCAAATATTAAACCAAATGATACTCATGTCCAAATATTTTTAAAAATAGAAAAATTTTCTGTTTATTATTATTATTCCTAATTAGTTTTTTTTAGTTTAGTTTTGAAATTATCGAAACTAACTAATTATAAAAATCAATGCATTGAATATATATATACAAAAGATTTTTATATTAAAAATTGTATATATTTTCTTAATTATACAATAATATAAATGATTCAAAAATATGTTTTTAAAATAATAAAAACTTTAAAAAAATCTTTTTCTTTGAATATTTATATTGGTCAATGCCGGTCAAAAGTGTACCGGAAAAAATGTTCGTGATGTTGGCGACATGACTACATATAGTTCATATATGTGGGCATGCAATACATATAATTTGTGTAGTTACAGATACATTTTTAAATTTCGGATGTGTGAACATGTATTGTAGCATAGTTCATGTAGGTAGGTATCTTTTTTCCTTAATTTTTTATTAAAAAAGCAGTTCATTTAAAAACACTCCAAATCTCCAGTTTTTTTACTGTTCATAGTGCAGTACAAAAATCCTTCTTATTTTTTATCTGCCAGCAGATCAATTATTTTTTAATAATATTTCCTTTTTTGAACTGCCATTATATTAATTTTGTGTGAATGGAGGAAAAATAGCAGTTCCCCCACTATGTGTATTATCTGCTTTTAATCTGTCTTTAATCTGCCCTTCCATTCAAAGCCTATATTATCCGTCTCGGTGTTGCTATATTCAACTGCATGAGAATAGTTTAAGCTTAATAATTAGTTGCAATAATTTTGTGGTTATAATATCTTTAATACGTCGTCTTCTCAGTTTTTTCTGAAACCTTCCTCACTTGATTCAAACCGTATACAGTTGACAATTTCAGTTCCTGGCTTTGACAAAAATGGCTTTAACGAAAGCGATCCTTCAACAACTCCCAGTTACGTTTGACCAATCTCTATAATCCGAGAAAATATTCCAATAAATGAATTGCTCTGTTTTATTGAAGAAGAGTTGAGGAAGCAAATTCATCTTCTCTCTGTTTCTAACTTTTCCTTCACATTTTTGTATTCATCAGCAGATATGGCGAAGATATCATCACCTACTCCGCCAGACTGGTCTCAGCTCCCGGAAGAGCTACTGCACCTTATCTCCAAAAATCTTGACAATTACTGTTTCGATGTTGTTCATGCTCGCTCTGTTTGCCACTCGTGGCGATCCTCAATTCCCTTTCCTTCTTTCCTGTTACGCCCAAGTTACTCTCTTCCGAGCATAGCTGAGTTCCCTTGCAAAAGCAAAGAAATGCGCACCCTCGAGAAGATCCCGTTGTTCCTCTTCAGAGTCCTAGCTCCTGCTGCTGCGTCGCCTTCTGAGTATTTTCTTGGAAAAATAGGCCGAGATGAGTCAGATGAGCATATGGAGCTTCTTCCATCTCCCCTTCAATGTTCAGTGAAAGTGAAGATTCCAGGATCTGATCCAACTTTGATGAACATGCTTGACTGTCAGATTCTCTCTCTAGGCCATAAGTACAAAATGATAGGCTTAGATCATCAACCATTGGCGATAGGTTACCAAGGCGTGGCTTTTCTTCCACTTAACGAGGGAGGAGGAGAATTTGTTGTTCTGCGGAACTACAATAAAGTTTTGCTGGTTTTAACAAGTGCTGAAATGAAGTGGAAGCAGCTTCAGAACATCCCAGATGCTATATGTTCGGATATAGCTACTTATAGAGGCAGATTTTATGCAACTTTTCATTCCGGAGAAATTGTAGTTATCGATCCTTATTCGCTGGAGGTGAATCTCCTGTTGCCTTCACCTCAGGAGCCATTACACTATCTGGTTCCATCTAGCAATGATGAACTTTTCCTGGTTGAGGTAATCTTCCCAGTTCTTGAGGTAATAGTTTTTAGTCAGTTCACATGTAGAGTGAGTAGACTAGATGAGAAGGCTGGTAAATGGGTTGAGGTCATCGATTTGGGAGACCGTGTTTTGTTTATTGGACAACTGGGAAATTTCTCTTGCTCGGCTAAGGAGCTTCCTCATGGTTGTGGTTTGAGTAGGAACTCGATTTTGTTCACTCATGGGCTAGGCAATGTAACTTTCCCCTTTAAATATGGAGTACATACAGGAAATGCAGAAGACGATCTCAACTGTTGGAGATCCTCAAGGAAGAATCGTGTGGTGATCCTCAACAAATCTTATCCGGTCATAACTCTTCGGGTTGAGCGCTAGGACGTAGTTTCTCGCTTTGGTTTCTTGTTATTCTGTTTTGTTTTTGGTACGGATTTTGTTATGGAGACTGGATCACTGGTGTGTAAGTATTAATTTATGTTTTGTTCTAAACTATATATCTATCACGTCCCACACCATCTCAAGATCAGACAACCATGTAGTCTTCTGTCTCTTGAAATTTCAGAGCATTGTCTGGCTCTGTTCTTCGTCATGTTTTCTGGAAAAAGAAAAACTCTCTTTATATGTGGAATAGCCTCTGATATGTAGTGTGACAAGCCACCTCAATGGTAACCTTTATTAGTCTTATTATAAGGCAAGTGTACGGGAGTTTTGTTAGGAATTATTTCTTTGTCTTGAAGCTTTAAAATTCAGTTATGTTCTTATTAAACTTGTCGCAGGCATAGCAGCAGCGTTGTTCTTATCAAACTTGTCGCAGGCATAGCAGCAGCGTTGTTCACTATGTCATACACACAAGCTGTTTCTATTCTTGCTTTTGAATCTGTTTAGAGCTTTTTGGCTGTTCAAGATTGCTTTTGTTGAGCGACTCTATGGCTACTATTTTCAGGTTTAACGTATTGGTGCCTAGTTGCGTAGTTCATGGGTAAAAATTTGTAGGCATCTTCATATCTAAACTGGTCCAAAGGCAGCAAATTGTAAACACTTATGCACTTGGTAAAAAATTTGTGTCATCTTCAGTTAGTTTCTTATGCACATTAATATTCTCGGGAACCCAAATTCTTAACCGGCTTTACTTGATTTAAACCGGCTCAATCTCTTCGGTTCCTTTCCCACTCTACCCCGGTTCTTATAAATTCGAATACTCTGTTCAATCAAAAGCTTCATCTTCTCTGTATGCATACGATGTTTGGTTTTGCTTTTCCAAATTCCAATAATCGTTCTGTAGCAGATGTGCAGTACCTCTGGTATGCATTAATGCTTAACTTTGATGAGGTGTTAGCCTAGGATTTGAGGGGATTATTACTTTGTTTGGAAGCTCTAGAATTCAGCTAATGTTCTTATTAAACTTGTTACAGCCATAGCTTTTCAATCATTCTAAACAGCTTCAACGGATAGAAGAACAGTAATTCTTTAAAGTTTTGGTGCCTGCCTTGTGTAGTCCATGCGTAAGCAGTATGTTATACTAAACCGGTTTGATCTTTAATTTTCAATTAGGGAAACCAAACCAGTTTTGAAAGCAATTTCAACTACGAACAAGAAATGGGTAAAAAAGCTCAAAAAACATCATATCCGTCGAAAATAATTCCTAAGGATTTTTAGAGTTTAAGATTTTATTGTTATTGGTTTATAGATTTTTGGATTCTTAATAAAATCTCTTGTTATTGGTGTATGTATTTTGTAATTCTACTAGATTTTAATATGCAGAACAAACATTTATTTTTGAAATTCAAATTTTCCAAATTTACAGATTTTGTTAAAATTTATTTAAAAATTCTTAATGAAAATAATGATTATTTAAATGGCATAATATCAAATTTTAATTAAATCAGTTTATTATACATGTCGTATTTTATGTTGTTAAAAAATAGTAAATTAAAATTTTTATCAGTATTGACATATGAGGTTAAAAATATTTAAAATTTAATAATATTGATGCAAACTCGTTTTATTTTCATATTTGTCCATCATACAATCCATCCGTGTTATTTTAAACCTTTTATTAAGTTTAAATATGTTTAGATTATAATCTGCAATACACCAGTTTAATCGGTTTAATAGTACGTGTATATGAATATAAAATTTTGGGTAGTCCTGTTTGCAGCATTAATTTAATTATACATAAGATTTTTTTGTCAACATTATACACACAATTATTGTAAAGATATTGTAGAAATTTTTGGAGAATGAAATTAGAATATTATTTTTTGAATTAATTACAGAGTGATTGTAGGAATGTTTGGATTATGTTAAAAAAATGATATCATCAAAATTTTATTTCTAACTTTAATTTTTTTAAAAATATTTAATACTAATGCGCCATTAGTAATTGCAAAGGATTGTAAATAAGTCTAAACTTCATAATTTATTTCAAAAACTGCTGCAAAAATATTAATATAGATTTAAAATCCTTTGTTATTCAAAAAGTAGAATATTTATTAATTTTACAATTCTATCAAATTCTAGTGTTATTGGTTTAATAATTCCTACATATTTGGTCATTAAAAAGAACTTCCAAAATACTCAATTATCATAAATATTTATAAAATCTATCCATTAAACTCTTAAAAATCTGGATAAACTTTACTTCAGAATCTACAATTTTTGTTTAGAATCTTAAAATCTAAAAACTTTTGAAATCCATATACCTTTTAAAATCAACATCTCAATAACACCCCCTAAACTCTCTTTCAAGTTTCTCTTCTCTTTATATATAGAGCGTCTTCCTCGCTCACTCCACACAATAAGCCAAACTTCGCAATCGACACAACCAAATTGCTTCTCTGGTTTTGGTTGTTGTTCAACAAAGCGGAAGCGATTCCATCTCTATATGCTCAATTTCTCAAAAGTTTAATAAGAATCAATCCCTCTTCCTTTAGAGACCTTCGGCTCCAACTCTTCATCCCAGTTACGGTACGACCTTATCTCTTCTAATCTCTGCGATTTTGCTGTTAAATAGTGTAGAATCATAACATCAGCTGCTCTGTGGACAAACCCTGAAGAAAAGTTGTAATTTTTATTTCAGATTTCTGTCTTCGTCATCCTAAAAAGCAGCAAGTTTGTGTCTTTATCAGTAAAGCAGAAGAAGAAGAAGATATCATCATAGATCATGCCAGACTGGTCTCAGCTCCCGGAGGAGCTACTGGACCTTATCTTTAAGAATCTGGACAAGAACTGTTTCGATGTTGTTCATGCTCGTTCTGTTTGCACCTTGTGGCGATCCTTAATTCCCTTTCCTTCTTGCCTATTACGCCCGAGTTACACTTTTCCCGCTTTCCCTAGGGAAAGCGAAGACTTCTACACCTTCAAAAAGGTTCCTTTGTTTCTCTTTAGAGTCAAAACCCCTCTTGCCGCTGATGTTGCGTTGCCTCCTGAGTATTTTCTAGGACCGATAAGCCGAGATGAGTCAGATGATCATATAAAGGTTATTCCATCTCCCCTTCAGTGCTCAGTGAAAGTAAAGATTCCAGGATCTGATCCAACCTTGATCAATATGAATGACTGCCAGATCATACCTCTGGGCCATCAGTACAGAATGATAGGTAAGGACTACAATCTTGTGGGTTTTCTTCCGCTAGACAAGGAGAGAGGAGGAGGAGGAGGAGAATTCGTTGTGCTTCGTAGCTTCATTAAAGATTTTATGATTCTAACAAGTGTCGAAATGAGGTGGAAGCAGCTCTTGAACATCCCCAATGGTAGATGCACGGATATAGTCACTTTTAAGGGCAGATTTTACGCAACCTTTAGTTCCAGAAAAATTGTGGCTATTGACCCTTATTCGTTGGAGGTAACTCTTCTGTTGCCCTCACCTCAGGGGCCAAGCCATCTGGTTCCATCTGGCAATGATGAACTTTTCCTGGTTGAGTCAACTTGTGATAGACCATATTGTCTTTCAAGATTGACATATAGAGTGAGTAGACTAGATGAGGAGGCTGGTAAATGGGTTGAGGTCAGCGATTTGGGAGACCGTGTATTGTTTATTGGACAACAGGGAAATTTCTCTTGCTCGGCCAAGGAGATTCCTCATGGATGTGGTTTGAGTGGGAACTCGATTTTGTACACCTTTCTGTCACTCATTGAAGTTTTCCCTTATAAATATGGAGTACATACAGAAAACGCGGAAGATGATCTTCATTGTTGGAGATTCTCAAGGGAGAATCGTGTGATCATCCTCAACAAATCTTTTTCGATTCTGGCTTTCCGGGTTGAGCGCTAGGACATGAATTCTCGTTTATGATACTTGACTACTTGTTATTCTATTTTTATTAGATCAAAGAATATGTTTTCCTTTTATTTTAGGTCTAGATTTTGTGATATCTGATGTTAGCCATTGTTCTTCTGGGATACTTGTCTGGCTGTGTTCTTAGACATGTGACAAAAATTCTCCAAAATCATTTGAAACTCAACTGTACATACTTGAACTGTAGCAGATGTGCAATGGCATACTGTAGTTAGCCTAGGGTGATTTGTTGAGGATTCTTACTTTGTTGGTAAATCAGCTATGTTCTTATCAAACTTGTTTGCAGTCATAGCAGCAATGTCGTCCCTTATGTCATACCCTCATACAACATCTATTCTTGCTTTGTCTGTTCGGAAATCTTTGATCGTTGTAGATTGCTTTTGTTGAGTGACTATAGCTACTATGGTTTAAAGTAGTGGTGCCTGCGCTGCGTAGTCCATGAGTAAAAATCAGAAGGCATCTTCATGTTTAAACTGGTCGGAACTAAGCAAGCAGTAACACTTCATCTTTAGTTTGTGTCCTTGGGAGTTGGGATAGTGAAAATCTTGACAAAGTAGGTATGTTTGAGTTGTGTAGTATTGTATCAAAATTGGAGCCTTTTCAGTGATTCAGGAAGCTTTTAAGAAAGAAAGTGATTATCATGACAACATGCATAGAATTCAACTCTGTCTCAGTATTCATAAACAAAACAGGTTGTTGTAGGAACGTGGAAGGAACTAACTAGCGATTAGAGGTTTATGGGTGGGTTGTTTCTGATGCATTCAGTCTTTTGAACAATCAAGGAAGAGAACCATAATCTTCAGCTGATCTTGCTGGTTCATTTACTTTAGTTCACTCCTAATTTTGAAGCTAATTCTAAGTTTTGAGTTCTTCGAACTTTATTTCATCAACATGATCTTGTTGCACTTTCTATATTGCAGAGGAGTGGAACACAGCTTAATGGAACTGTTCACTGTGACTACCCTATTTGGTAATACACCTCGTGCTGCTGCAAGTGTTAAGGTTCTATATCAAGCTATTGCATGTCTTATGGACCTAATTTTTGTGGCACCAGCAGGCAGCAGCTCATGAGCCTATACATGAGAATTGGAGGAAGGTATTGAAAGCTTTTCGGACAATTCGACACTGTCCAAAACTAAAACATCAAGCCACAATACAAAAACTCTTTTCTTGGTCACTGATCTTTTATTGTGCGCCGCGTTGTGCAGTATACAAAACTTGCTACATGGATGGAACTGGCGCTTGATGACGACGATATGGACCAAATATTATGTCGATAACAAAGAGGAAAAGTGGAGAACTATATTGCTTTTGACTGGTTAGTTCCAGAAGACTCTGTCTATAAACTTCCTCAACAAAGCAATGTAAAAAATTTCTTTGAAGGAGTCTTTTACAGTTAGGTAAGCCTTTCATCTTTTTTAGATATTATACCGATATCCTCTTTTCAATATTCTTGAACGAGAATTAGCTTTTAAGAATGGAAATGGAGCAGAGAGGGTAGAGACAAATTTTTCAAAGTGATGAATAGAATAGATTCTTTGAAGATCTGAGCTTATCTACTGTGCTAGCTCCCATACTGTTACGCCACAAACTTTCCCAGAAAGTGTAAAAGAAAAAAAGAAAGATCCTTCCAAAAACTAAAGCTAAATTCTTGAAGACATCTTTTAAGTGAAATGAAGTATAAACTTTAACTGCCCCCAAAAGACAGTAGCAGTTACAACCACTCACATGTCGTAACTTAGGTAACGAATCCTCAAAACCTTAAAGAAACTGATATTGAGATTTTGGACCACTATGGAAACAGCTTGAAAGGTTTATTAGGTGTTAAAGAGAATCAAACAAACCAAACAATACATAAAGAACAAATCCAAACACAGCTCAAACTAAGAACTCTGGATTGAGTGAAGACTTGGCTATGATTGATCAGTTTAAGAGCCATAAAATTGATATCATTTCTTAGTAACAGGTTACAAGAAGCAACACTTTCGTTGTATAGAACAAAACTAAGATCAGTCTATTGCTATAGTTGTCTTTGTCTATTGCTATTATTTTCTCTGTGTAGTTTTTCTAAGGACTCTAAAGCACACAATTAAAACAAGCAAACGTGAACAAAAGCAGAACAGAGTATTGAGGAAGTGAATCAGATGATTGGAGGAGGCGGAGTCTCCCAGACATCAAACACATTCTCTTCACTATGCAATGCGAAAAGTCTATCGCCACCAATTGAGAAATCACAGATTGAGCCACCATAGCTTCTTCTTAACCTAGAAGTTAAGACCCAGTCTGGTCCACAGAACACAGAGATTGAATCATTCATCGATGAGAAAAGCTGGCCTTCGTGCAAAGCGAGTTTCGGGTAACAAGGCTCGTCAGGCATCTTACTCTTCATCAGTTTACTCCTCGAACTCCACCTCACACTTCCTCCATACATCCTCAGATCAATAAACCCCAAATCCTCAAACTCATTCACCACGCAAATCGAATTGCTATCTTCCATAGCTATTGCATCTCTCACTCTCTTCTCGTCTATTGCCATAGGAGACCCAATATCAGACCAAGACCAAACCATGTTCTTGTCCCGAAAATCCAACAAGCTAATGTAACAGTTGTCTTTTCTTGGAAACAATGTAGCCACAAGAAGACAATTCTTACCATTCAACCATTGAAGCTTATCAGCATCACCAAGTGACCAACCAGGACTCTCATAGAAGAAATCAGTTTGTTTTCCAGTTATCTGATCCCAAACTCCGATTCCATACTCATTACTCCGACCTTTGCAGCTTGCAAAAATCTCATAATCCGGCGAAAAACTCAACGCTCCAGCTGTATAACTCTTCACCTGATTCTCATGACAAACCTGAAACTTATACCTTAGATCACCAGATGATGAACTGAACAGTCCCATTCCTCCATCTCCTCTCCCTAACCTCTCACAAGCAGAGAGTACAATATTCTCTGAATCAATCCAGCCAACATCATTAACTCTTTGGTAATCAAGATTTATCGGAGAGTGTTCTTCCAACATCCAATCAAACACATGAACAACACTCCCGTGCGCGACACAACAACCACCATCAGGACCAGCCCTTATAGCTGTTCCGTCTCCAGGAGCTATTCCTTTAACAGAATCAGAGAGACGAAGACGGTTACCATCGAACGGACCCCATCTAGCTGTCCTTACATGGTCAAGTAAGCCATAGAAAGAAGCTTCTCTATGAAGGAGACGCTCCGGTATGTTGGCGGGAACGTTAAGGTCTCCGGTACGGAGAAGATCAAGAAGAACGGCGAAGCAATCTGAGTTTCTGTCGACGAAGATAACAGAATCTTGGGGTGAGAGATTCCACTCGTCGTCGAACAATGCTCCGAAGAAAGAATCGCGACCTGCGTTTGCTAACGTAGTCGCCGTCGTTTCGAAAAGTCTTCCACCAACGTTGAATTTGATCCTATCTTTTGAGATACCCATCAATGGAAGAAGATGAAACAGAGAATCAAAAATCCTCTGTTTTTTTAATTTTCCTTCCCGGAAAATTACAAAAGAAGGAATCAAGAAAATGATTATTAGCTATGATCAAGAATCTTATATGTTCATAAAAAGACAAGAAGACATGAAAGATTCATCAAAGATACTCAAAAGAACGAAGAAGAAAACGAAAGCTTCGATCTTTTTTGATGAAATTTTGAAAATTTAAGCTCTGGGCACGAGAAAGAAGCTGTTTTTGATTTAATGGGAAATCAAAATTTATGAGATGGACCTGAAAAGAAAAAAATTTGAACTTTTTTTTCAGAAATTGAATTGACTCTCTCTCTCTCTCCTCTCTCTGCTTCTTTTTTTTTCATTCCGTTTACACACAACACAACAGTTGTGTTCTGCATTTATACATTACAAAGACAAAACAAAAGAACATGTCTGAACCGTTGGATGTTAGTGTTCTTAAGGTAGTTGATTTTTTGATCCAACGGTTGATATTTAGTGTAGTACATTGCTAAATCGGGAGAACATTCTCAGATGATCAACACCTCATCTCATTGGTAATTTGGTTTATATCTTATTTTTATTTAAATTTAATTACTTATTTTATACACACACGTCAAGTCGAATTTGGGGAGATAACAAAATAAATAAATATCAATAGTTTGTATATATTTTTTGGGTAAATATCTCAAGTGTGATGTCCTTATCTATTTATTATTGACTTTTTTTAAAACACAACTCTGATATAAATGATAAGAAGAGACTTTCTTAGATATTTTTATCGAGTTTTAAAATAATTGTTCTAGTTAGTGGAACAAATATCACAATCAAATGATTTAATAATTACTACCAAAAAAATGATTTAATGATAATAATTTGTGACTTATTGAATTACAAAAGAAATTATGATACTAGGAAATTTGAGATTTCGACGAAAATAATATGAAGTGTTAGAGTGGGTTACAAATTTACAATGAATGTTACTATTCGATGTATTTTAATGTAAATCAAATGAAATCAAACATTCTTAAATATTTTTTAATCGGTTATTAAAACAGTTTTTAATGTTAGTGGAACGATTCAACATGATTAAATAATAACCAATCATTTGTCACTTGTTAAGTTTTGATTATTTGTGTTGTCCTTATCAAATTAGAAAAAGATAGTAGAATTATAAATTCATAATAGGAAAACTTACAGGAAAGAAAATATTATTTAAATTATTGTTAGTACGTCCACGTTAATTTATATAATTAAAAAAATAGGAGAAGATTAGTTTATGCATTATAACAAGATAAAAATATAATTATGAGAAAGAGTAAATGAGAAGATAATGTTATATGCAAATTTATGTTCTTCGAGATAAGAGAGAGGACCAATAGTGATTTATTGCCACAACATAATGCTAAAGAATTGGCATAACGTTGGCGACATTAATATCCAACTTGAATAAGACAAAATATTGGTTAAATTCTAAACATATGTTTAATTCATACTATAAGTTAGTTAGTTTTATTATGGTTCAGGTTTTACCAATAATATAAGTTTAGTTGCAAGATTTGATACGGAATAACATATACAATAATATGTATATTTCATTGCAAAGCAACGACCTAATTTATCTTTTAAGTTTCGTTCGTTCACCAAATGACATTACATGTTTTCGGTCCTTTGGTCTTTGTTATCCGAGATAAGGAGATAGAGCATAGTTAACGTCGAACAATTTAACAAAAAATTATAGGGAAAATGCTAAAAAAAGAATTTAAATATCATTTAAGTATTAAAGTTTGGTTTGACTTTCAATAAAAATAATCAAATTTTGTTGATATGGGTCGACCTAAGTTAAAGTATTTTTTGTTTCTAACTAAATAATACTCCCTTTGTTTTTATAGATGGACTTTTGAGTTTTTATTTTTTTCTAAAATAGATGATTTTCTCACAAATTTATTCAAAATTGAATACTCTTTAATGGTTTTTATCAATTTATATTTTACATACTGTTTTTTTATTGGTTGAACTATATTTAAATAGATATTAAATGATGTTTTTTTAAAAATAAACAAAATTTAAATGATTTCTTAATCTGTTTACATTTGAATATTTGATCAAAAGATCATGTCTTCTAAAACTGAAAGAGTATAAAATAAGAAATTTTAGCTAAAAATAATGTCTGTTTCTTTGCAAAGCAACGACCTAATAAATTTTCTCTCAAGTTTCATTCACCAAATTAAAATGATACATTTGTTTCGGTCTTTTTGGTCTTTGTGAACCAAGAGAACGAGATAGAGAGCTTAGCCAACGTCGTTCTATAGTTTAACATTTTCTTTTTCTTTCACAAAACAATCTTTACTTAAATAAATATACAAAAGTTTCAACGTCAAGGAGGGTCATGCGGGTCGTGGACGGCACACCAAGATCGGCTTCTTCTTCGTGTTTCGGTCCAAAAACATGATTGAGAGTGTTTTTATTTTTATATAAAACCATACTTTGAATTCTCTAAACTAATAAATTAAGCAAAAACTAATAGTCAAACCAATTCGTATGAGTTGTCTCTATTTATATCCATTTAACCATTTACTCGTTTGTACTTCCAAGGCACTCACCTTATCCTGCTACCAATTTCTATATTTGTGGACGAATTTTCCTAGGACGTTCTTGTTTCTTTTCCTTGGGTTTGATTTTTATTTGTTTATCAACATATATTTTACGATTTAAGATAGAAGTTTCAATGGAACCAAATAAATGAGTCAACCGAGTAAAAACTCTACAAGACACCAAACATCTAAAAACTTATACTAAAACGTTCTTGATCCTTGAGTACTCTTATTGTTAATGATAATAATATTTAGTATGTTAGATCATAATACATACTAGAATTATAATTGAAAAGAAGAAACAATGAAAGGTGGTTTACAAATTATAATTGTTAGGGATGAAAAGGGTCAACATATATAGAGTTTGGTAGAAATAAAGTTTACCACTTGTATAAGTTGTAACATATATTTTCATGTAATAAAAACTTATTACATGTGTTTGTTTTTATTTTCTTATAAATACTTATTATATTTTTCATTGTTTTCCATTTTCCATACGATTAAAGAGAGGAATAAATTTTGGTTTAATGAGTTGGTTAAGTTGTCGTGTTCTTATTTAGTTATACTTAAGTTATCTCAGAACCACTTAACCACCTCCACACACCTCTTTGCTTTTTGCTTTTTCAGGTATTAGGTCAATATGCCAACTCAATTCGTTTCTATTCTTTCTCCACGAATTTCTATGTAATAAGAAAAAAAAATAGTTTGACTAGTTGATTTACACTCGTCAAAGTCAACTATAGGAGGTCATCAAGAGATTTAACTTGAATTTCATACTATTTTACATGTGATTTGTATTTTATATTCAACTTGAAATTAAGTGAAATTAGGAAGTTGACCCATTCAAAAAAGATTGGTCAAGTTTGTTTTTTTTGTTCCGGACTTAGTTTTCAGTTTTGTCTTAGAGGTGCACCAATAATGTGTTTTGGGCTTTGCAATAACAAATTGTATATAGACTTCAACTTCAAATTAACCCAATTTTTCATCAATGGAGGATTATCTAAATGATGAGTTGAGCTTGAACATTTGTTTTACTGGGTCTAAATAGGCTTAAATACAAGAGCCCAAAGTGCTTCAAGAGAAGATGTTGATCTACTATTCTTTTTTTTTTTTTCTTTTCTATTCTTCTTTTTTTCCTGTTTCTTTCTATTGTAGTCTGTAAAATAAATATCTAGTAAACAAACATTTAACACAAATGCTACATCAGAATTATGATTAGATATTTTAGATCAATATATTGATTTCAACCTCTATAATCATAGTTAGTTATGAAACCTAATTATTAAGGGAACAAACAAATGATTATATAGTATTGTATCTTAAGTCAAATGTTTTATATAAATGAATTGTAATCATTTAACCAAACTTAAAATTCATGTCTTCCTCATTAGCAAAAAAACCTCAATCATTCTTTTTTGGTTTAATTGCATATCGTAATTTTGGTATGAACTAATGAATTATGTTTATTCAGCTATTCATAACCTAAATAACCAAAATCCATTCTATCAAAGTTATTTTAGACTCTCAATATAGAAAAACAAAGCATACATGCACACCGCATACGTACGTAATGCATAGATGGCATATACGAGGAAGAGGTGAGAATGCGTGTGAGTGGAGAAATGATTATGCCGGAAACATGAAGAAGTGTTATGATTTATGTGAAAAGGACAAACTCATTTCGTGGGTCAATCTCGTTGTCAAGCTAACCATCATTTCCCTCTTCACTCTCAATTCTCAAACTCATTGCTGTTGTTTTTTTTTTCGTTTCTTCCTCATCACACTTTTTAACATCAATTTCAGTAATTATGATTAGTACTTATTTGTATTTGTGTTTCATGATTGATGCGTGTAGTTACTATTCTTATAAAGGTTTACCCTCAAATTGGCATTGATCTTCCTAGGTTTTTTTGTATCGTCAGTGTGAATTTTCATGTATGACTAGTTGACCATGATACATTGATACGTATGTAATTTAGCGTAGGGCTCAAAACATTGATTAATATGAGACATAAGGAGAAACAAAGTATGTTTTATTGCCAAAAATAGTCACAAAATATCAAATGTATAAATTTTTGTAAAACATACTCCCTCCGTTTTTTAAGTGATGTTTTATCCAAATTCTTATAAGTGATGTATTCAATTTTCTATGCAAAAATTAATGTATATAAAATAGTCACAAAATATCAAATGTATATTTTTTTGTAAAACATACTATATAGTGAAAAAATCTCAAAAACTTATTATATTATAAATGAAAACATAGCGGGTAATATAAAAATGACTGTAAAATTTCGAAATAGATATTATAAATCTATTAAAGTATTGTATTTTAAATTTCAAATCTCTTTTAGGAAATTTTTGATGAGATTTAATGTAAACATTTTAGATTTTTGGGTTTATCTAAGGGGTTGACAACTAATGTATATGTCAATCTTTTTTATATGAACCATACAAATCACAAATGAACCTCAGTTTCGTGCCATTGGCTCCCTCGACGGTTCGAACTAATTACTGTATATAAGTTAGCTTGATTGGGTAGCTAGCTGGCTCTGGAATAATAAATTCTTCTTCTTTAATTTAATTGAACATTTTATTTATGAAGTATTTAAAGGACAATAAATAGTTTTTGAATAAAATTAATATTATGTCGGTTTCTTTTCCTCTTTGAAGGCCAAAATCTTTATAAGTAAATGTTCTTTAATTTCTCATGCAATAATTT